CACGCTTTACGGACGGGGAGTTACTTATTTTCTTACAAATTTTTAATTGTCCAAGATACATGTTCCTCCTTTTACTATTTTCTAATGTTTTTACAATAAAGCAATTAAATTGTGGTCCATGTAATTGACAATGAATTGAACACATATCTTTGTGATATATTATGTAACATTATCTTTGTTTAAATGTATATAATTATATTGTATATGTTTTAATAACCTCTTCTTACATTACACGTGTTACTTGACCCATTTATTCAGTTTAACATGCAATGTGTGTAAAGGAGTTTGACCCATTGTAAAACTTTGCTAGATTAGCTGGATCAATTTGTGCACCAATTCTGATGTTTTCTGGGAAGGAAATTAATAATGGCCGTGTTGAGCCCAGGTTAAAGAAATTATTGAATACATTGCATTTGTATTTGAAACTTTCTTAGTTCTGTATCGATCTGTGTATTTACTAATTGAATATAACCAATTTACTAATTGCATGTTTGCGGGCCATTGACGATTCTTTTATAAGCCGCTAAATCGGATTTGCGGATTACCAAGCGTGATATCAGTCTAATTTTTTCCTGCGGCAGACGATGTCGTTTTTTCTTGGATTTTTTAAAATTGCAATTTGTGTTTCATCTTTGCTGTAAGTCGCTGTTGTTTTCTTATTCTACAATTATCGTGTTAATTTCTAGGAATTAAGAAAATGTTGTTTTTCTCTGCAATTGTGTTCGTATGTATCACAATGAAGCATTCAATAGAATAAAGGTTTGATTGCTGGGGAAAAGGTTTTAAATGAGAATCAAATGAGCCGCTTCATGACAAAACCCACATAATGGGTTTGCGACCAGGTTTGATCCAGACCAGCCTGCGCATCCGCGCAGTCTGATCAGGATCCATGCTGTTCGCTTACAGACCCTATAACAAGTAGAGAAACTGATAGCGAACAGCATTGATCCTGATCAGACTTCTCGGATGCACAGGCTGGTCTGGATCCATGCTGGTCGCAAACCCATTATGTTGCTTTTGTCGTGACGCGGCTCAAATGACATAAACAACGTAAATGCCATAAAAGAAAACATGTTTGATAGACAATTGGCAGAAAAATGTATATAATTTATATATTGCTACTACAGTTTAATTATATACAAAAATGTACTTGAAATAAATGGCATTTCCTTCAGTCTGTCACAACAAGCCATTTCCTATTTTCATCCCAGGTGTTTTAATAAGAATTAAGGAATTTTATCAATAAATATGCCCGTTGTGACACAAAAATGTTCAAAATCTTTACGCGAGATGTTTAAATGGGTTGAAGTAATTATAAAGTTTTCTTATCTTTTAGTGTCGCTTTAATATAACTTTGTTGTGCGACTGAATCTATTAAAATTATAAAAAACATTTTCGCCATGAAGAAATTACAATGCTAATATATATTTTCAGACTGTCAAGCGATGGCAGACGACGCAGAGTGCCTGCAAGCACGTTCACACCAGTGACGTCTGCTTTGCCAGAGCTGTACTCTCAGCGTTATGCTTGCGTTGAATTTCTACCAGACGACATTTCGTACTTTAGATTGAATGTTACACTAAAGTCACCGGCAATTTTACGAGAAGTACTTATGAATATTTCTTTTTCGGCAATTTTTATATCAATCTCTCTTTCTCCTATCAAAAATTAGCAAGTTGTAAAAAAAATAATTCAGCCCTTCCTTTTAAAGAAATATAAAAATAATTTCATGATCTTAATTTCATTACAGTATTTCATTAACTCATTAACTTAAAAAAGGATTGGGTCTTTTTTTTTGTTTATTGCCCTCTATACATGTTTCACTTGTACACACTGTCGTTAAAACTAGAGCGATGGAAAGTGGAGGCCATATGGTTAAGGTGTGTGCCTCTCAACCCGGGAATCATGGGTTCGAACCGTACTCGTGTCAACAACATGTTCCTTCATATGACACAATAACAGGTTGGTTCCAGGAAGCAGATTCCGAAGTGATTAAAATAAGTTGCAAGAGCTTCTTTCATTATCGATCTTTAATGAATATATTTAAGAAAAATATATTCATACCTTCAAAAATCTTGGCACATAGATTTTAAAAGTAAGTTGAAGGCATTTAAGATTTCAACGTGTAACTTTATTTATTTCATTAAATTTCTACAGTCAGATGAAGCAGTCCTTGTTCAAAGTTCAGACAACAACACGTGGCATTACTTGGAAAGTATGTATGATTTTTATCCTGAAGGCGAACTTGTTGTTGAATTTACTCTTCATTTTAACAACACACCCAGCGGAGACTGCATGTTCTTCTTCAATGACACATTGGGTAAGTTTTTCTTTGTGGCTTTAATTCGTTTATAACATTGGTTTGTTCCATGGCGTTGGTTTGTTTTATTAAATTGAATTGTTACACAGGTTTGTGTTAAAAGGTTAGTTTTTTGTTGTTTTAAATAATTTGTTTGCTTCATAACATTGGTGGGCATTTTTGTTATAACTTTGGTTTATATTATAACAGTGTTTCGTGTTATAGCATTGGTTTGTTTTATAACATTTGTTTGTATAATAAAATATGTTTGTGTTTGTATTATTTGGAGAACCCCAGGAAATGGATATAAATAACAATAATTTGACCATTGAGGATAACGTACTAAACGATATTGTAGATCGTGATATTTCCGAGGAAGAAATACGTGCGGCTGTATTTTCCAAAAATAACAACAAATCTCCCGGACCCGACATGCTTATAGCTGATGCTTTTTAAATCTACTTACGATATTTTCTCTCCGTTTCTACATAAATTGTATAAAAGAATATTCCAATGTGGAGATTACACCTATTTTTAAGAAGGGTGATACTAGAATGACCCCCAAAACTGCCGCGGCATTACACTTATAAATATCTTGGCAAAAATATATTCCCAAATCCTACTAAATAGGCTCACGAAATGGTCAGAAGAAAATGGTAAGATCTGGAAGAACCAATATGGTTTTCAGAAAGAAAAATCTATTGTAAACTGCATTTTTATCTTACATTCTGTAATATCAAAAGAACTTAACTCTGGTGATAAACTGTATTGCATATTTATAAATTATGAGAAATGCTTCGATAAAAAGATAGACAGGACATATTTATGGCATAAATTGCTCAACGAAAACGTAAGTTTTAGACTTGTGAGAGCTTTAAAGTCAATGTTAATGACGGTAAAATCGTGTGAAAAATATAAGTCGAATTATTCTGACTTCTTCGAATCGCATGTAGGTTTGAAGCAGGGGGACCAGAGTTCCCCTCTGCTGTTTATGTGCTTCATCAACGGCATCTTAAGGTATATTAATACCGATCTAGAAGGTATTTTCTTTATTGATGAACTTCAGCTATTCGCAGACGACCAAGTATTGTTTGCTAAGTCCCCGCAGAGTTTACAGTCGATGATGTCTGATGTCGAGAGATACTGTAGTCTTTGGGGATTAAAGATAAATACTTCGAAAACAAAAGCAATGATCATTGAAAAGGGCAGACATACACGCCATGATTTTTATGTTAACGACAACCTCATTTAACTGGTGAATTCATTCAAATATTTGGGTATCACTTTTTTAAAGAACGGAAACTGGTATAGAACTCAGAAATATATCTCTTAACATACCTCTTTTGCTCTTAACGTTTTTACCATATTAAATAATATTAAATTGTCTGTTTTCTAGAAATGTAGAAGTTTTTATTCACTTGTCGGTTCAATCGTTAACTTTGGATCAGAAATCTGGGGAATGCATGACGGACGCGATGTTGAAAAAATACATACACAATTTTTGAGACGACTTTTATGCGTTCGAAAATCAACTAACATCTCGGCGCTATACGGTGAACTGGGCCGTTACCCTTTTTCTGTGATGATGATCAAGTTTTGGGTGATAATTATTAAGCTTGACGATACAGAGATTGTTAAGAAAAGCTTATTCAATGCTTAAGCAAGATGTTGATTCTGAGAATACATATAACTAAAAAAATTGGCTTTTTTGCATTAAAAACATTTTAACAACATGTATGAATCAACCAGTTTGATATAGATATCCCTTTTGCTATTATCAGACAAAGAATTATAGATACTTTTTTACAGAAATGGTATAGTGATATAAACAATTCTAGTCGCCTGCAAACTTAAAGCATTTTTAAACATGATTTTAAATGTGAAAAGTATTTTGATTTAATAACAGACAAAAATCATAGAAATGCTCTTACTAAATTTAGAACGTCATCACATATCTTATGTGTAGAATTTGGTCGATATGAAAACATACCAAGATCAGAAAGAATATGTAAATCTTGTTTAATGAGACAACCTGAAACAGAGTATCATTTATGTTAGTCTGTCCACGTTATAAAGAATTGAGGGAAAAAAAGATTTGATCAGGATCCATGCTGTTCGCTATCAGTTTCTCTACTTGTTATAGGGTTTGTTGTGACGCGGCTCAAATGTTGTTATCGAACCAGAATTTATTGTCTTAGAGGATTGCATTTGCATGTATATCTTTTAAAAAAAAACTAACTTGCAACAGTGAATATTACTTTTAGTCTAAAGGACTTTAGTGTCTTCATGTCTTTACATTTTAGAAATGATAGAATAAGTTAAGTGCAGACTATTATGAATATTGTAGATTGGCGTCTGTTTATTTGAAACTTATGCATGCAAGCGCAACATATTATATAATAAACATGTTAGATATTGAATATTGAACATAATATTCCAAGAATCATCTTATGTTTGCTGAAAAATCCATGTTTTTTATGTTTAATTTGTTACATTGGTTTGTGTAATAACATTTTTTTTTATAACCTAGGTTTGTTTTGTTTCTTTCCTTTTTTATTTAATTAAGGAACAAAGATGCTTTCACATCTCAAAGTGGTACGTAAGATTATTGCTTTCAGTATTATAAAATTAGCATGATTCTAAATTTATGATTAATAAGATAAAAATGTCTCATTTTTTTCAATGTTCATCAAGGTGATGAGATGAGTGCTACTGAAGACCGTACAGATTCTATGACCATGGAAACATACACTAAACAAACAACGCCGATGTCTTTTGTTAATACTACTGCACGTCGCGTTACATCAACTCCTGAGCTTGTCACGGGAACCAAAGACAACACAACACTTGTGTTTCTCAATGTCTCCACGTGTCTCTGCCCTTGTAAATGTATCACCGTTATATCCAAAGATAACTCTGATAAAATGATGGCGGCCATGTTGGAAGATCTGATTATTCCGAAATTTGAGACATCGTTGTCGAAGCGGAAATTGTCAAGTGCTCCGGATGATCGAATTTCTAGTAAAGGGATAGGACTTGTCGGTACGTTTGTGATGACAGTCGTGTTTGGTATAATCCTCATTGGTGATGTCAAACTCTTCTTGCTAAATGCAAGAACTGCTTATGTTAATTTACGCAATTTTTACGCTAATTAAAGATGTTATATAGTAATATTCCCAACATATGAATTTCATTGTGTGCATTATGAACAGTTTATCATGTAACTATACCAGTTGATATTTCTGTGTGAAGGGGACTCCACTGAAGTTTTTTGGCATGAAAGGACCGAAAATATTCTGTCAAGATTTTTGTATAACTGTATGTAGATCTAGACCAATAACATGTGTGCAAAATTTTAGATAAATTGCTCACTCTGGTAACCAGGGATAATTAATATTATTGCGAAAATTGACCCAAAATTGAAAAGCGATGTGACGCTTAAAATTGCATAAAAATCGATTTAGTAGCGATTATATTAATATATTATCTATTGCATAGTTTCCAGTTTAATTGCACCAGTAACATTGTGAATGATTTTCAATTTTTATGATGTTAGGCTATTATACTTCAATGGAGTTCCTCTAAGGACGATTCATTCAGTCAATTTTGTATATCATAATGAATAAATTTCAGGACGAGTAGGACTTACATGTAAGTATGTCCTTTGAAAAGTAAAAATAGTATATACATGCACTAGAATATATAAGAGCCGTGTCTTGACAAAACCAACATAGTCCGTTTGTGACCAACATGGATCCAGACCAGCCTGCGCATCCGTGCTGTTCGCTTATCAACCCTATTACAAGTAGAGAAACTGATAGCGAACAGCACGGATCCTGATCAGACTGGATGCGCAGACTGGTCTGGATCCATGCTTGTCGCAAACGCACTATGTTGGTTTTGTCGTGACATGGCTCAAATATACTTTTAGATTTATATGAAAAGTTTCACAGATCGTTACCTCTTCCTTTTCATGCTTTTGAAATCTATCAAAGCAAACTCTTTAATGGTATTTGTTTGTTTTTGTCACCTGTTTATGTAAGCATTCTGTTGTATTTAATTATGTGAGTATAAAACTAAAAATAAATTGGGAAAATATTGTTTTATATTATTTGTCAATTTGTCAGACTCCTACTGTGTAAAATTTACCGAACTAAAAGCACAGAGGTATCATCTCCTCAAGAAAAAAGCATACATAAACAGTATGCCTACATTTTAAAAAATATCTTAAGGTAAAAATAAGATTATTTTAATGAATCATCCAATTAGCAGGAGCTATCGTCTTTTAGTATAGGTTAGTGCTAATAAACAAGCATAATTATACAAAATCAAATTGGTCAAGAACGGTGCAACCAATTAAGTTCATAAAGAGTCGATTTAATAGTTAGTCAATTCATTAAAGTAAATATGAACAACTGTCCGAAGGGCAATGTTAGGATATCCAGCAGACCACGGATGGCTTACATATGAATATTGTTGGCAAGTGTGAAATACATGAACCGAAACTATATTTTAAATAGCAGATTATATAGTGTTCTATAATAAAATATGATCGTTCATCATAAAAGAAATAATACTAAATCACTTATAACTTTATCAACATTTCTTTTTCAAGAATTTTTTAATGATATCCGAATAAAACATTTCTATGGATATTTGAAATACTTATAGAAGATGTGCCCATTGTAGACCAGTCCACTTTAAGTACTTGTATATGCATGTCACTATGATTCTATCAATACAAAATTCCTTTAACGTTCTTGTGTAGCATTCTTTGAGCCCTGGTTTCGAATGTTTTCAGAGGAAATCAGTTTTGATTTTTCTCCGGTTTAATAGAAAAACAGGATAATTAAGCCTAATTCAAATTGAGTGGGCAGGGGGTAACGGGGATTTAACAATCTGATTGATTCCGCGGATGGGGATGCAACCAGGGACTTTCTGTGGGTACCTGCGGTTTCTAATGTTAAGCGTATATGAAATGGTGAAAAAATGAGAAACGGATAAATTTTTCGTATATTTCTTATAAGAATTTTTGGTACAATTTTTATGTACTTTGAATTTTCTAGAACGTTAACATTGTTATCAATTAGGTGATTTAAAATCAGTATGCTGTGATTACTGCTATAATTTCATGTGAATGAACTTGAAGCGTCCGTGAACTTAATCACAGAAGAATATTTATATACGCGATTAGATTAATGTTAAATGTGTCCTAACTTTGATGTGTTATCCATTATTTTCATTCAAAAATGCTGGAATAATTGCTAAGTAGATTCAATAAATATAATCTTGTTTCAAAAACGTATCCCGAATTTGTAAGAACAGGAACATTATGACAATGATTTATATTTATTTCATTTTTAGCTCGACTATTCGATAAGAATAAGTAAAACTATTGTAGTCACCCGACTGCGGCGTCGGCGTTGGTGTCCGCGTCGGCGTAACCACTTTATGTGAAAGTTTTTGTAATACCTCAAATATTTCCAAAGTCCATTGACATATGGCTTTGAAACTTTACACACTTGTTCACCACCATGACCTAAACCTGTAGACAGGAGTAGGTAACTGTATCAAGCATTTTGAAAGAATTATGCCCCTTTTTCGACTTAAAATTTACGTTAAAGTTTTTGTAATACCTCAAATATTTTCAAAGTCCATTGACATATTGCTTTGAAACTTTGCATACTTGTTCACCATCATGACCCCAACCTGTAGACAGAGGAAGGTAACTGTATCGAGCATTATGACAGAATTATGCCCCTTTTTCAACTTAGAATTTACATTTAGGTTTGCATACCACCTCAGATATATTCTATTGACATCAGGATTTGAAACAAGTTGAAATTTTATACTCTTCTTTGAGAGCATAATTATAATTGGGACTCTCTCCAAGGCCTATAACTGTAACATGGATTTATAGAAAAGTTTTGCCCTTCTTTTAAGTCAGGAAATTTCACATTATCAATGCTATTTTACTATCAAGCACTATCAGTCGCGCGTTGCTGTCCTACCGACCGCTCTTGTTTATTTTTTGATTGTGTTTCATGTTTTCTTTGTCTGCACATTGGCAGGTTTATCTTTTCACGTTTTTTTCATGACTGGGTCTGTCTGACTAGAACAGACCTGTGCACGTGCAAAAGATAGACCTCATAACGGACTTTCTTTTGTTTATGCAGGTCTATCCGAAATAATATAGACCTGTCACAAACAATAGAGGAGGTGTGTAATACTTGATATAAACTGGTAAAAACACATAATTTACATACGACGTTTCTAGCAACAGAAATCTTTTACTTATTTCTATGTTGTTTCATGAAGGTAAGCTGGAGCTTGTAGTGGGGTTTAGATTTAACAGATAGGCTATAGCGGGACTGTCTATAACTGATACATACCCAGTATGTTCCTTCTTAATAGAACCACTGTCATTACAGGCTTTCATCAGTTAGGTAGAACGCTTCCTTATATACATATGTGAACAATACAATTTTGCAAGCCCGCATAGCTCAATCGGTTAGAGCGTTAGACTTGTAATCTCGACGTTGTGGGTTCGATTTCCGTGCTGACCAACTAAAATGTTGATAACGTGAAATTGTGAATTCACAAAGATAAAATCGGGATTTCATGAAGGTTGAAAAATCCCCACCAGTCTGTCGTACAAAACAATTTATGTGCAATGCGCTAAGTTATTGCTTAGTCAGTATCCAAATTACAATACGCGGTCTTTGCAAATGTCGCCACTTGTGGTTAAACATGATTTCATTTTATCCGCCAAAACGAAAACACGAAATCAAGATTTGGGCTACAAAGTCTGGTAAAAGATAATGCAGGCAGTGCAAAAAGAATAATCAGTATCAAGAAGGTAATGTATGCCATTTTTAGTAACATTCCGGGGTCGGCCATACAGATAGCTGTTCCTAAAGGCAAATCTGTAAATGCGAAATTTTACAACACAAAACTTCTTCAAATACTATACAAATACTTTCGGACACGAAGACCCGCAAAACAGGTGTGAAAAAGATGAGCCGTGTCTCGACAAAACCAACATAATGGGTTTGCGACCAGCATGGATCCAGACCAGCCTGCGCATCCGAGCAGTCTGATCCGGACCCATGCTGTTCGCTAACAAATCCTATAACAAGTAAAGAAACTGATGAACAGCATGGATCCTGATCAGACCGCGCGGATGCGCAGGCTGGTCTGGATCCATGCTGGTCGCAAACCCATTAAGTTGGTTTTGTCACGGCGCGGCTCAGATGATTAAAGTACAAGACTTTCTGAAGCATAATAGGCGATGTTCCCTTACCCCCACCGCACCAAAAAATACACCGTGTTCACTTGACCTTACCCCTTTAATTTTTTTTTCAAAATCTAAAAAAGATGCCATTCCAGTCGAAAAATTGAACAGAACTGACACCTCCGTTATGCAATATTCCAGTGTCTTCATTGAATACCTAAAAGACGAGGAAAATGCTTTCAAAGATTGATCCGGAGTCTGAAACTTTGTTTATCTGTTTTATATGAATATTGTGAGGAACAAAATTCTTTCAAACCTATGAAGAATCAAAGTTTACGTGCTAAGATGCCTTCATATCTGAATACTCCTCGTAGAACTAAGAATACGCGCTATATTAATTCATTGCCCTCAAATAATTAGACCAATAAAATAAATTCTTTCAAATCGATGTGATTATTTTACTAAATATCTCCTGCGTGATCAACAAGATTAGATAAATGCCACTGATACAGAATTATTTGTTAATTCCTTCATTTGCAAACGACTCATCTTTCAATAAATTCTCATTTTATTAATTGACTAAATGAAATAAAGTCTATCTTAGAGATAGGAAGCTTTACAGTCATATCTCAATATTGAAGATATAAGGATGAGGGGAGTTTATCTATCAACGTTAAATATTGCGTTATTTCTGTAAGTTTACTTTTAAATCATCTTATTATTCAAAGAAATATGTAAGCAAATGATGTTTATAATGACAAAGTTTTAGAATTTAATGATAAATGGTGTTTTTTAATTCTAACAGACGTTAACGTAAATTGTTGTTTATATCACTCGAAGTTAAATATCTGCAAAAAGGCGAAGATGTATAGTATCTGTATAGTATATAAATTATCGCGGTCGGTCGGTTTGTTGAAAATCTTTTTGTGATAGCATGAACTTACTTTTTGAATTATGTTAAGCATATATGAGCCGCGTCATGACAAAACCAACATAATGGGTTTGCGACCAGCATGGATCCAGACCAGTCTGCGCATCCGCGCAGTCTGATCAGGATCCATGCTGTTAGCTTACAAACGGTATAACAAGTAGAGAAACTAATAGCGAACAGCATGGATCCTGATCAGACTGCGCGGATGCGCAGGCTGGTCTGGATCCATGCTGGTCGCAAACGCATTATGTTGGTTTTGTCGTGACGCGGCTCATATATCGATCCTTGATGCATGACAACTTAACACATATTAACATATACCAACGCTTTTCGGTTTAGAGAATACGGTATTCCTGCAAATACATGTATAAGAACAAATAATTCGTTTAAGCCGTACATGAAACGATGGCGATTATTATATTCGGCAGTATCAATTAATGAAGTCTTTTAACTGCAAAATGTGAATCTTACCAAAATACATGCTAATTTTGAAACGTTTGTACTTAGACAAATATGCGTCCCGTCGAGTTATATATACATTCGTATTTGTAAAAGAAATAATTTTAAAAATTTACAAACATTCTTTTACTTTTTAGATCGCTGTGTACCTGTAATAGACTCGCCGGATGGTGGAGACTTTGGGGTAGAAATTCAAGGACCATTGTCACTGGAATGTCGTCTGTTGGATCATCAACGGAAATGACGTCACAGCGGTTCAATTGTACTCAAAGTTTAACAGCGCCTGTAGAGTATTTTGAATTAAATGTGACACTGAATACATCAGCTGTCTTAGCAAATGTAAGTGTTTGATGTCAATTGTATGTATTCGCTTTTTTCTACAAATTAACTTTTTAACCTTTGGAAAAACAATTATTTGTTGTTTCAAACTAAGTATATATTCGTAATTTTATCATCATATATGCATTATATTACTGTTTCGTCTTCTTCAAAACAGCGTCCCAAGCGGCAGTGATGTGCGTTTATAAAAATAGTAGATCGGGAAACGAAACGTTTCTATTAAGAGAACGGACCAGTGTTTTAGATATATCAAGGGGTTTCCTTATTGTAAACGTATTTCATCGGCGGCAAATTTCATTTTCGACCATAATTATTTTGATATGACAATTATATGAAACTATTTAACCAAAAACATATTTAACCTTTAGAAAAGCCGCTTTAGAATTTACTTAGTTTTATTTTCAAACCTGAAAAAAATTATACTGACGAACTCATTTGACCTTTTCGAGAAACTGAGATTTTTTGTTTCATAACGATACTGTATACATGTACCTTGGCAAATTGTTATATCAATGTAATGTAATGAAAAGATAAAATATAATTCGAAGTTGGTATATCTTTCACCATTTTTTCAATCAATGTTATGCTTTCATTGACTGTCTTTTTTTGTTATTCCTGTGTAGCCGGATGTTGTACAGCTAGATGAAAGTTCTCCGGATAGAACTTGGCATTTCCTGACAAGTGTGTATACGTCATATCCGGTTGGTGATCTTCAAGTTCAATTCACGCTTATTTTCAACAACACTCCAGGTGGAGATTGTCTGTTTTCATTTAAAGCAGAGGGAGGTAAAGTTTTATATGTATATATTTGTTTATCACGTTTTTAAGGGAGAAGGTGGCATAAGTGGGGGCAAGGGTGTGGGGTGAGGGAGTGGGGACTGTTCCATCTACATAGGAATAGAGTTAAATATGAAAATTGAAAACTTCTTAAATGCAAATAAAAAAATTACAGGAAAATAATTGTTCGTATCAGGGTAAATGATAATGCAGTTATATTAGTTGTATATATTTTTTTAATCAAATTGTTGATTTAAAAGCTAAAATTTCATTGAAAATGTATCTCAAGGGACATTTCAAAATGTGTATGGGATATATCCCAGAAAGTCTGTAGCTACGGGTAAAACACACCCCTGCTAAAAGTTCAATACAGCAATAAACAGTCTCATAATGTACATCACTCGAAAAATTACTACATATTTGTGTAAAGCCTTTAAAGCTCACATGACGTTTTATATTGGAATTTGAAAACCAAAAACTTTTTATTAACTAAAATTCTGATAAGCGTTATTTTGTTTAGAACATCCCGATATTCCATTTAGTCCAAAGTGTCAATCTGATTATTTTCATAAAGACTTTTTCAATATATAAATTTCAAAATGCATATCATGTGTACATAGTGTTCTTATTTTCGTCTTTCAGAAGGAAACTCTTTAAGTTCATTTTACCCTAACATTACAACGATGACGTCATGTGTTGAAACAATGACGCCATCTATTTGTAATCAAGCAACAAAGAGCTACACCACTCCCAAAATCGATTATGAATCCGCCAACACAACAGTGAACAATACTTACCCTCAATCAAATAATGGTTCAAAGTGTCTTTGTCCTTGCGAATGTGCCATTCCAATGTCCAAAGAAAAAACTGATATGATGATGGCGGCCATTTTGGAAGATCTGAGGATTCCGAAGTATTCGACGTCATTTTCGAAACGGAAACTATCGAGCGCTCCGGATTATCGAATTTCTTGTACAGGCATAGGTCTTGTGGGAGTGTTTGTGATGGTTGTTGTTTTTGGGATGATACTTATTGGCGATTTAAATTTGTTCCTGTTAAACGCTAGGATGGCCATCAGTCATATAAGAGGTCATTATGGCTTTTAGGGCGACAGACGTGATGCTTGAACATTGATCATACAGATCATCGAATCTGTTAGAAGAATGTGAATCATCATTCTGGTTTTTCCGATTCTTGTACAGTTTATTTGTGTTGATATATATTTTGTCAGGGTGTTCTCAAATTCAGTGATTTTACAAACATCAAAAGTTGCATTAGGTGTATTATAAGACTATATAAACAGTGATACCATACAACGCTGTATATTCCAACTACATGTAGTTGCCAATGCTAGTAATATTTGAGCCGCGTCACGACAAAACCATCATAATGGGTTTGCGACCAGCATGGATCCAGACCAGCCTGTGCATCCGCGCAGTCTGATCAGGATCCATGCTGTTCGCTATCAGTTTCTCTACTTGTTATAGGGTTTGTAAGCGAACAGCATGGACCCTGATCAGACTGCTCGGATGCGCAGGCTGGTCTGGATCCATGCTTGATGCAAACCCATTATTTTGGTTTTGTCGTGACGCGGCACATTTGATACAAATTTAAATGATTGGCACCGTCAGCGATATTTTGATTCAAGTCGAAACGGTGTAACGTTTTCTGACGACCGTGCGTGCAATATCAAGATACAATTTTATGACATGATTTTAACGACTACTTATTTCAACATTTTTAATCCTTAGATTTTAGCATCTATCTACTACTTTTCTTATATTGTTTACAAACTTTGTAATGTCATAATGTTTGAAATCACCGTAAGCATATTATTTCTCGTACATCCTGTTGTTATTAAAGAAGCTAAATTGAAAAGTGTATATTACAATGGAAGGATAGTTCGCAAAATGCTTCCAATCGGACTGTTTTCTGTTGGGGTTTTTTGTGGGGTTTCTTTTCCTCGTTTTTTTTTTGGGGGTGGGTGGGTGGGGTAGGTGTTAATATACCGTTGACTCGAAGATCTAAGAAATCGTTGGAATATCAAAACAAAATTTAGCGCACCAAAGATGATATTATTGTAAAAAAAAACGTTTCAAGCTTAGCCGTTTAGTTCAGTCCTGAAAATGAAAACGAGATAGAGTTTTTGTATCCCCAATACTCCCTCTCGGTCTCCCAAACAAAATTTATCCCGTTCTCAGACTTACGCCAATGCGTACAAATTTTAAGGGTTTTTTTTACAATTATATCAAGTACTAAAGTCAATCTTTGGTGCGCTACATAATGTTTTGATATTCTTACGATTTCTTAGAATAAAAACATATTTTCATCCGCGAGTCGACGGGATAACAGTCCAATTGGCACGCTTTTGCAGTTGCACGATGACGTAGTATACTACCATTGATATTATCTCGCAGAGAGATGTTTTATAAAAATTAACAACAGAATATGTACTGTACTCATGCGACCGGTGCAGACTAACGTCAGTCGGCTGCCTTCTTAGCATAGTCTTACCTTGTTCCGCTATTCAGTCAATTTATTTTTATGAAAGTTTACCTAAAATGATGAATGGTTTTGTCCAGATTGAAAGATGAACAAGCAAGTCCTCGTATGATACCAGTAATTAGCGCGATAAATGTTGAAAAATACTATTTGTGTAAGATCCCAACAACATGTGACATGCAACGTTTATCAGGACAACTTGGATCAAATTCGCTTTATATTCATTACTAGATTTAGTTAAGGAAAAAAGAAATTGGATTGAGACATTAAGACCTATTGTTTGGCGCAATATAGAGTGATATGAAATCATGGAATATGTTGTTACTGTTACCCGGCAATGAATCTCGGTCATTTTCTCATACATTCTTTCTTCGAGAAAATCAATTCTGGAAAGGTTGTATTTTTAATAATGAAATTTTGGGTCACACATTAAAAACATGCTTAATGACCACAACGAATTTTGAAGTACTCGTCATGATTCCAGACGTCTCAAACTACTACATATGAGGTGGTTGTTGCTTTTGGGTTTTGTTGTTTTTCGGGGTTTTTTTTGTTGTTTTTTTTGCGAAGTGGGTGTATTTGGGTTTTATTTCGCACCAACACTGTGGAGGTTATATGCCGACATTCCAGCTTTTCTGATGGAGAAAGACCTCGTGTGTCTCTCATTGCATTATTACAGACATGAACGGGCACCTGAGTAGAACCACCGACGTTTCGTAAGCCAACTGGAGAGCTTCCTCATGTGCAGATAATTGATTTAAACATTTGAATATATATTGATGCTTTATTATGTTTTTGCATATAAATGGTTTTGCAAATTTACATTAACGAAGAAGAATACATACATAAACGGATAAAACCACACGAGCACGTGTCGTTATTGCACGTTGTTTTTGAATGAGAGACACAGGGAGTTATGATTAAAATAGCTGGCTGCAACGACGGCCTAAAATTGTGATATCAAAACCTGCAAATGATTTTGAACTAGCACATGAAAAGCATGGCAAAACCGATTTCTTTATTCGAAATAAAAACAACAAATCAGTCTTGCACTTTCATGCAAGAATAGTGATAATGCATATCTTTGGTGCAATGACATCTACAGGAGCCCTGTTACTTTGTTGAATCTCTCTCCCAGTGGGCTTGGGTTTTAAATGCGGCCTTGTGCCTCAGAAGAGTTTAAAGCAAGACAAAGACGAAAAATTTCAGCCGCGCCATGACAAAACCAACATAGTGCGTTTGCGACCAGCATGGATCCAGACCAGCCTGCACATCCGCGCAGTCTTATCAGGATCCTTGCTGTTCGCTATCAGTTTCTCTACTTGTAATAGGTTTGGTAAGCGAACAACATGGATCCTGATCAGACTGCGCGGATGCACAGGCTGGTCTGGATCCATGCTGGTCGTAAACCCATTATGTTGGTTTTGTCATGGCACGGCTCATTAATGTTGATTAACCCTCGTTTCTTTTTCCTTCCACCAGCTTACAGTGAACGAGATAGCTATCCCACCAAATGAAAACTTAATTATAAATATAAGCTTATTCGCTTTGTCCGTTTGTTTGTTTTCTTTCTCTTCTTTAATTTATTCTTTACTAATTGGACTTAGTACATTGACATCAAATACACGGTAATACTCGTATAAGGTTCTTTTTTAATTGTGCAGATCTTTTAAAAAATTAAAGCGTGAAATATGTTTAAATCTGAATATGCAAATACTTCTTTAATTAATTTTTATTACAATATGTTTGATCAGGAACAAATTAAAAAAAATCGCGATCAAAAGATGGATTGGTTAAATAAATTGTATGAAAAGTAATAAAGCCAAGACAAGAGTAAAACTTACCATGAAAGATCATTAAATCATATATTAGTGACAGGTAAAATAATTTGATTCGAGTTGTATTTGTGTAAACATGTGACTCGAGGTCACGGGGTCACTATTTTGTACAGCTATTATTGTATATAATATTTAATGTTGTTTTCTATGTGGTTCAATATCAGACAGACACAGCTCAACTGTTGTTTGTTTACTACGTTCGGTTATAATGATGAACGCGCTAATTATAGTATACATGTACATTTGCTTTATTTTATTTTACAATTTTATTCCAAATGTGGATGGACAACCGAATCCTCAACAATTTTCAGGTTTTTCTTTCTTTTTTAAAAAAATCTTACGTATTTTCACTACATATTTTATTCATTTTCAAAGTTTATTTAATTTTTTTTATTAATTATTTTATTTTTTTATTTTTTTTTTGTCGTGTTTGAACGTAAAAAACGCATTATGGCTTATTAATACTGTAATTGTTTTAAATGTATATTTACCATGCTGTCTTTTAAATATATATATATATATGAATGAAGCACAATGTATTTGCTTAAACATATGTTATACGTTCTATATATGCGGCTTATTTAACATTGGTGTTTTACAAACTTCTTAAAAAGTCTTTCTGTATTTTTAAATGTGTTTATTTGTAAATAATGTAAAAAAAGGGAAAGAAAATTCCGCTGAAATTGATTTTAAATTTTCATTTCAGTACTAAGGGAGCCGATTGCTGGTAAGTTTGCGTTTGATTTATTACTTTTATCAATTTGCTGTAATCTTGTTTCAAAAATTATTCTGTTTTGATTATTATTAAAAAGATTTAATTAAATGAAAAAAAATATCACCACTGGATATACTCATGTTTCATATTACCACAAATTTATGATATTGTCGTTACCAACATTTGATTTATGAAAGATAAGAATCTGCATAATGCATTTAAATTCATTATGATATCATTAAAACTGGATTTAAATGTACGGTGTACAGTGTTACCTCTGCAAAACGACCTTCTGTAGAGCAGTCATCTCTTGAAAGCAACATTTTTAATATTTCAAAATTAATTTAACCTCTGTGGAGAAACAATTTGGTTAATTAACCAAATTCTCCGTCCTCCAAATCGTGTTGCTCCGCGGAATCTTTACTTTTTTCATTTCATAATAAAGAATTTCATTTTTATGAACGCGTTAATAAGGTAACATCAAAGGACTTCGTCAACAGATTCGCTATAAAAAAGTGATAACTGTTGTTCAAAACACTTCTGTTATAAGAAATATGTGATAGTTTTAGTGATGTTTGCGTAACATTTTTATTGTTAATATGAAAATTAAGATCCTTTTTTATAATATAAATACGATGATTGGCTGCCAATTAACTGAATACCAAACTTTTTCATTCATATATCTTACGAGTATTTAGCGGTGTTCAACATTTAAACTTTTCCGAAAATGTGTCAGTGTATGAAATGAAATAAATAGTTGAAACATCTTAAAAACCTGTTTACATTAAAATACCTCTAGAGATATTTTCAAGCCACGCAACGTGCCATTCCTTCTTAGGGGGTGGTGTTTTTATGTACAGAATTACGAACGGAATTTTCAATTTAAACTATTGACACCGATTTTCATATGATACAAACCATATATATTAGTAATACTAATATGACTATAATTGCTGTTCATCAAATGTTAAGACAAAAAATTACTTACCCAGACATGTTTGTATGAAACAATGATTATTTTTACAAAGTCAGTTGTCATATTATACTACTTATTGTACATGTCATTTTGACAGGTATTGCAAAAACAACTAACCTTTATAAATAGATTTAAAATACAAAGACATGTCTGTACTAACTAGGGCATCAAAGTTTACCTTATATGAGAATAAATGCTATAAATATAACAAAATTTACATTTATGGCCGGAAACTGAATGTCTAATTTACACTTCAGTTTTTTTTATGTATTTTAATGTCAAGACTTATTAAACAAAAAATATATCGCATATATATACACACGGAAAAAGAAAGTGTTCATTTGGCTCGTGACGGAGGGATGTGTGATTCTATACTTATTAGTATCAGAATGCGCTTTGTTGCGCCGTATATAGGCAAGTTGACAGATTTGCCGGTTGGCAAGAAGAACCAATATTTATATGCATTATATATAGCATTAGAATTTTTAAATTCTAATAACTTTTTTATTTGTGGATCGATTTTTTAGATTCTTATATCATTTGAAAGTTTTTTACATTCATATTTTTGAAATGTAAGCGGATTTTCATTTTTTGCTTTTAAAAAAGAATGCTCAGCTATTTTTTAACTGTTATTTCAATAGTTTTCTAGCACCAAGTTTAACTCTTTACCAAGAAAAAATGAAAGCGTTTTGTAAATTTATTTTTTAATTTTTAAAATATAAGTAAAATGACTTTTCTAATGATATAAAATACTAAGCTGTTTTATAAAAATAAGTTTGTTATTGTAAATATAAAATTACTATATTTTGCATTTTATTAGCCACCATATTTTTCGCCAACCACCCGAAAGTTACCTGTATACCTTATCAGCAATTTGATATTATTAATAGATTTCATAACAATAACATGCAATTTGCCTATATGTTGTAGTCGCACTTGTAGCCGTATAATGTGCTGTGGTAATGGTCGTAGTCGTCGGCGAACGCGTTATGGTCGTAGTTGTACGAAGTCGTACTTTTAGAACTTGTAGTGCTGATAGTCGTCGTAGTCGTAGCTGTATGTACAAGTTGTAGTCATTAAAGTCGTAGTCGTAATCATTGTCATAGTCGTAGTCATGGTTGTAGCCTTAATGAAATTTTGATGACGATCACCATTTTGGTTATGTTTACAAAAATAAGCTATATATGGTGATATGCCTCATCTTGACGTATACAGCTAGCGAGAAGCTGTATTTTTTTGTAAGCTGTATACGGTGTTACAGTCCAATTATACAGCTCACGCGTAAATACGCCGTTGCAACGTCTTGCTTAACTTTGATAATTACCATACCATACGTTTTACGTGTGGAAAGTGTGTACAAAAGCAGATACAAAACATAAATTTACAAACTACTTAATTATCTGCACGTAAAAAGCAATGTTCTGATATTTATCAAATTTAATTTAAAAGTTAAACATCTTAGAGCCAGTACATGTTTACACAATTTGATACAAAAATTATAAAAATTACATATTTTTGGTTTAATGTGTTGTCTCTCTAATTAAGTGTTTACATTATATTTGAAATAAGTATATATATAATAATTATGTTAGTTATCAAATTTAAATACATAGTCTTGATTTTAGTGATATGTGTTTACAAATATATACAATAAATACAAGTATTAATTCAAAGAAGAGCAGTCGACTTTTTCTTCTAATCAGTAAAATAAACAGCCAAAGTTGTTATCCTCCTCCTCCTGCTCCCCTCCTCCTCCTCATCATCATCATCATCATCATCATCATCATCATCATCATCATCATTATCATCATCAACTCATCATCATCATCATCATCATCATCATCATCATCATCATCATCATCATTATTATTATTATTATTATTATTATTATTATTATTATTATTATTATTATTCGTTGCAAAACATTTCATAAGAAAGGTTAGTTTAAGATTGTCAGTCTTGTCAATAGATGAATTGCTATATAGTTTATATATAATTGCAGATGTGTCTGACTGGACCTATGGAGAAAATGAGAATGGTAATGTATATAGTCTGTCTACATTTTCACCTTCAAAATATTCTATGATATCTATTACTATCAATTTGCTATAATTTGTAAGTTCAGACCTTAAAAACACATAAAATAAGTCAATGAATTATATATCTTACCCATCTGTTTAAGTATAAATACACATTTTTTTTTAATTTACAGTGTAATGTCATTAAACATGAGAAAAGTGTACAAAAAGTAGAAAGCTTCAAGTAATAATGTATATGTTATGTGCGATTAATTGCTGATTTTTCAGTTTTATAACTATATTTCTACTGCGTTTCTTACGCAGTAAGGCCTATTTTTCACATTTTGACATTGTTGTGGTAATTAACGTGGGTCGTAGGTGCCATTGATAATGTGGATAGTGTGTAAATTCACGCCCGTTTAACTCACAACGAGTGAAAAATGTCCATCGGTAAAAATGTTGTGAGCAACTTCCGTTCCTCGTTGTGAGCACCCATCTTTGACGAGTGACACGATAAACAAGGTAAGTTTTTCATAATTTTTGAAGATTACAGACATTTATGTAAAAATATCGAAATGCAGTTAGCTAGCGATGTGTTTTCCGAGTATGCACATGTAAAGATATTGCCTGTTGGTGGACAATTTGATGAAAATACCGTGCGACGCAGTCACTCGGGGTAGCTGGAAAACTGCAGACAACTTCTCTTTGGACCTAATTTAACATTGAAAACGTCGATTCTGATGACGTTTTGTGCATTCTAAACTAAAACAGATGCCCACAAGTCTTCAGCGTAAATTATTATCTGAAAGTCTTCATAGAAACGAAGATATACCCTTTTTTGCTTTAATCCTCGTTGTGGGCACCATAACCTAGTTGTGAGCAAGACAAGCGCAGTGCGTGTATGGTTTTAATATGTAATTCAAATGGTGAAAATATAATTTTCAATCTACCACAGCAATTAAAACGTTTTTGCACAGCAGCATTTCTTTGCAAGACATTGTGCATACCCCAAAGGGAGGCATATTAGTTTTGAACTGTCCGTCTGTCAGTCCGTCAATCTGTCCGAAAACTTTAACATTGGCCATAACTTCCTTATTAGTAAACGGGTTTGATTCATATTTGAACACAACATCGCTTAGCACCTTCCTACGGACCTGTATTTCCTTACCTTGACCCCTTGAATGGCCTTTACCTTGAAGGTCAAATTGTTCAAAAACATTTAAGATTGGCCATAATGTCCTGGCATAATGTTTAGGCACAACACATCTTTGGACAAGGCCTTTCAAAACTATCCCTATATTCTTTTGACCTTGGACCCCTGAATGACCTTCACCTTGAAGGTCAAATTGTCCAAAAACTTAAAAATTGGTCATAACTTCCTTATTAGTATACGGATTCTACTCATATTTTGAAACAACGCCCCTTTAGGCAAGACCTTCAAACTGATCTGAAATTTTTTTTTTTTTTCCTTGTCCCGTAAATGGACCTTTTTAAGAAATTAAAAAACTTTAACATTGGTCAAAATTCTTTAAAGTAAGGGGAAATTTTTTAATTCCCAAAATTTGGAACCACTTTTTGTTTCTTTTGGAAAAGCCTTTCCAAATTTGACGTATTTTTATTTCCCCTTTGGCCCTTTGGGATTCCTTCACTTTAAAAAGTTAAATTTTTCCAAAAACAAAAAATTTTAATCTGGTCCAAAAATAAAGGACAAACCCAACTTAAAAGGGCTTTTTGTCAACTTAAACCGTGATATTTTCTTTTTTTTCCCATAATTTGGGTTTAGCCCTTCGCTCGGATAAAAAAATGTTTTGTGGTATCACAAAAATTGTGAAATTTTAAATATTCATAAACACCCCGTGATTTTCCCACCGCGTGCCACCTAAAATTTATACGAAATAAAATCCCGGGGTTTTATCTCCACTGATTATTCTTTTTGGTTTAATTTTGATGATTTGGGTGAATAGGGAAAGAAAAATTTTCAAAAAAAAAAAAGAAGAACTTTTGGCGGAAAAAAACGTTTTGAAAAAACGTTTTGGGGATTGTTTTTTTGGTAGATTTTTATAATTCTTTCCTTTTTGAATTACATTTTAAAAAACCCAGAAAAACAGGGCCCCTTTGGGGTTTGTAACTGGGGTTTTGGGTTTGCTCACAAAAAGGTTTAAAGGGAAAAAAAAGAAAGTTTTTTCTTCTTTTTTAAACGAAGACTTTTCAGATTAATTTAAAAATTTTAGGGTTTGAAAAATTGTGGGATACCCTGTTTTAAAAGGTTAGAATGCACAAAAAGTCCCCCAGATCGAGTTTTAAATTGTTTTTTTAGGTCCAAAGAGAAGTTGTCGGGGCAAGTTTTCCAGCTTCCCCCGGGGTGACTGGGGGTCGACGGTATTTTCCCCATAAAATTTGGGCCCCCAAAACAGGAAAAAATCTTTACATGGTGTATTTGGAAAAAACAACCCGCTAGCTAACGGGCATTTAAAATTTTTTACAAAATGCTGTAAATCTTAAAATTTGAAAATCCCCTTTGGGTTTTATGTGTCCCCCGGGCGTTCCAAAAGATGGGGGGCTTCACAACGGGGAAGGAATTTTGTTTCAAAAATTTTTTAGGAGGGGGATGGAAAAATTTTTTCATGTTGTGATTTAAAACGGGCGTGAAATTGGGTTCCTTTTTTACTTCACAATTCATATTTTTTTAAATACATTTTTCTTAATGTTTTATAAAAAAAAGAAATGATCTGGGGGCGTGCTTATTTTAAAGAGGGATTGGAACGGGGGTTGCTTTTTTATAGTAAAATCAAAAAAATATTTGAATTCTTGGGACAATACCTATTTTTCGTTACTTCTTAGGTCCGAGATACTGGCCTTATTTACATCCACAATACTGTTCCGGACAATACCAATCACCGATTGCAATAATTACCAGGAAAACTTTTTATAACCCTCGTTTGACAGAATTTGCTTTATTCCATGATCCGCCTCTACCAGGATCTAAATTCCAAGTCCACAATACAGGGCATACAGGTAATGTGTTCACAGTAGAATCTTATTAGCATGCTATTTTTGTTTTGTTTTGTTTTTTAACTTTAACTAACTGACTTATATTACTTATATTGTGCACAAATTGTTTTGAAACATGTATGTTAGATTTTTTTTCAAAATACTGAGATAAAGCCTAGTTAAGTACAATATATCCTAGAGTATAGCTGTATTAGTTTTGATTAAATAATGGTGGTCAACCTAGCTGTCCAAACACAACCGCTTATAGTGAAATAATTTATGTCGGGCATATCTGTACGTTATGCACGTAAAATAATTGATCGTCGAGCGATAAATAGAAATCACTCGTCTGGTGTCACTTAAAAGTTAGAATAGAGTTATCAGTATTTTATATTTTTGCTGTACTAATAATTAAAAATGTTTTTCATTGAAATTAATGATAATTAATGCAATTAATTGAATTGTAAATACAGTTGAGGTGAACACCGTAGGACAGTTCTTTATAACCAATGGTGGACTAGGAAATATATATAAGACTGCTCAATTCCATTTCCATTGGGGAAAACACAGCAATAGGGGATCAGAGCATACCATTGACGGTAAAAGGGCTCCGCTAGAGGTATGAAGTCATCATTTGTTTATAGACATAAATTTGTGTTGTGGCTCCTTTTCATGATACTTTATAAAGAGAAAACACTTCTTAAGATCATTTAAGGTAGCTATTACCCTGTATAAATTTACATTCTTTGCAATGGTTTTCATCATTTTCCTCATTCTATCATGCAAGTCTGAAATTAGGTATACGAGAGCAGAGCAACACCGTATGGAAGAGTTGTTGCTATAGAGATGTTAAGTTTATTATAAGCGAAATAACACTGATTATGTAAACAGCTACTTGTTCTACATATGGCCACTCTGTATAGGTTTTACTGTAAATTTATGATTAAAATTAAATGATATTCACATAAAGAGGGCTAAATATAGCAAGAAATTACTAAATTTATGAAGAATAAAGTATTAAAATATTGTATACGATAAATGCATAATATGAAATGTATTTAAGAACTCGTTTTCAGCTCTTTGATCCATGAAAAATAACGTATCAAAATATTGTTATTATGCATTTCTATTTCAACCATTGATTCATAATAACAACTAGTTTTTAGATCTCTGTTCGTTACAGATGCACATTGTAAGTTGGAACCAGAAATATATGAACGCAGATGATGCAGCTAAATATACGGACGGTCTTGCTGTTCTCTCTATTTTGTTTAAATTATCAACCCGTGATAATCCTGTATTAGAGCCAGTAATACAAGTTCTACCTGAAGTCAGAGATCCAGGTAAATATGATCAAACTAGTTACAGAATGTATGAAATAAATTAGCAAATACCTAGTTTTAAACATGCAAGTGGTACACATTTTTAAAAGCACTATTGTATTTTGATAGATCCGTTACGCCTCAAAAATGCGTCGATTTTTTCTTATTATTTATTTATTTATTGTTTTCTATTACAGTTTCTAACAAGTTATTCATTGGTCGATTATCTAAACTGTCTTCTTCTTCTGTTGCTTCTTGGCTATTGGTATATTTATGGTGATCTAATATTTTGTACGGAAGTCAAAATACTACTTTAATTACATTACATACTATTTTACATTTAGCGCTATATATTTCACGTAATAAGCATTACCATTATTTAAACGTTATAAAAAATCATGTTTGACGCATTACCATTATTTGAACGTTATAAAAAATCATGGTTGACCTTTCTGAATATAACGTGTCTTGAAAGAAAAAAAAATAGAAAAAGAATTATCTATATGAATAATGGGTTGCATTTTCTGAGGCATAGATACGACATATATCTTTAATTAAGAATTATTAAAATCAATTCTTTCTTCTGTTGATTATAATATTTTCATATTAGAATAGTGCTTGATCATAAAATGAAATATCTATTTACACTAATCACAAGAGTTTAAGATGAACAGACTGTTAGCAATGTCTGTGATACATTTTACATAGAGTGATACATAGTGCTTGATCATAAAATGAAATATCTATTTACACTAATCACAGGAGTTTAAGATGAACAGACTGTTAGCAATGTCTGTGATACATTTTAATCATTCTCTCTGTATTGGGTGAACGTGGCCATGATACAACACAGATAGAGAAATAAGAACTAATGAATAATTCATGTTGGGTGTTCAATATACTTCTTTTATTAAGTTATCAAAAAAGGGTTATTGAATATTTTTTCATTGCTGTATCCTTTAATTTTCCGATAAATTGTCAACTTTAATTTTAATTTTCATCTAGATGATCATACATTGATTACAATTCCTGCAACTTCAATAAAACATTTCCTGCCAAAGTTTCCAGACCGTTACTTCAGGTACCATGGTTCTTTGACAACACCAAACTGTAACCAAGCAGTGATTTGGAGTGTGTTCGAACAACCGCAATTTATTTCAGAAAGACAGGTAGGCCTGTACCACATAAGTATTTGGCCAGCAAAGTATAATGTACCTAGTACCAAATACTTCCTTAATATATATTTAATATTTCCATCTGCTTTTCCTCATGTTTTTTAGATAAAACCTTTAACGGGATGTGGCCATTGAAAATTCTTATTATCATTCATATATCAAAGAAGAATTTCACATATAGATTTGTTAATCCTTAGAGTAAAATTCATTAGAAGCAACTTAAAGCACTCTATAGATAAATAAATGCACAGTGATCTGATTTACCTCCAGAAACATTGTGCATAGGACCATACGGCAACTTTCTTCTCAATCATCACAAGCATATTATAAGGGAACATCAAATACTGCTTTTTACACAGTTCTTCCCCCGTGTTCACTAACTTGTCCTTTTAACACCAGTACCAAAACGTAGCCCAAGGGTAAAGCAGATGTTTCACAATCAGTCTATAAATTGTACACAGTTACACTACGTTTGAATTACCTTATTGCATTTTATATGTCATTATTTTAGCACATGTTGTTTAAAAGGAACAATAACTTTAAAAAAAATTGTAATACATAACAAATTTCCTGAAGCATTCAAATCTTTGATTTATACTTTTTTGATATGAAATCATTTCCGCCATATCTATAGCTGTGTAATTGTGACTCATATCTGAAAAACGTATCAAAGTCATGTCAAACAAAAACATATACTTATTTTTTCAGATATAACACTTTTAAATCATTTCCATCCGATTAAACTTGTCACAACTACTGTTATTTCAAATATTGAATCATTTCCGCCTTAGTTATCACGTTGTTTTTATTGTCTTTCAGTTGAACTATTTCCGTCAAATGCTTGCATCCTCAACTCATCTAGAAACCAAATTACAGAGACAACTTGATCTAGCTACAAATGGTAAATGTATTATTTGTTAGACTTTTTGATAGATAATGTCAGAAATGATTAAAGAAAAATGCCAAACACTTTCTAGGATTGGCTGGTATTCAAACTGTCCTCTTGATATTGTCTTCGATTGTGTGTTTGTTTCTTTATTTCCTATTCAATTCAATTATAAATTACAAGTGATTAATTAGTCTCTAAAGTTGAATACGACTCATTATTTAGGCGATTCCTTATTCGTAATGACCTTCCTGATAATTAAGTTGCTACCTGTGAACCATTTTTAAACCTTTAAATTTTGAGATTTATAAACACTTTTGATGTTTACAATTGAAAATTCAAGTACGTATTAACTTTATGAAAATTTTTTTCTAATTTATTAAATATGTTTAAAAATTTTTATATTGTTCCTTGTTGGGGGTCTCATGAAAGTTTAAATTTGTTGTTTCAAATGAGTTGTCTCGTTAATAAAGTTTTATTATTATTATTATTTTTTTTCAGGTGTGTTTCAGTAGAGGGATTAGATTAATCGACAATTTCGACCCTATTATGCTTATGGACGTATGTTTAAAGGAGTTTAAAACTTTTGACGTAACCGCCCGTTAAGCAAATTATAAAGAAAGTCTTTTTTTAAAAGCCTTTTGTTTTTAAAAAGTGGTTCTAAAATTATCCACTGAAGCCTCAAATTATTTTCCCATTCTGTCAAAGTACTGAATATGGTTGTGAATATAATTTATTAAAGTTTTCAAAAGTAAATGTATCTCTATGTTTGTTTATTTGTTTCTTCGTTGGAATCGAAAAACCAGCGCTTCTACCTATCTTCAGTTTAGAAACAGTGCTTTGAAGAGTCGATGTTCTCCATCTGATCAGGATCCGTACTGTTCGTTTAAAGAAAAACCTGTTACAAGTAGAGAAACTGATAGCGAATAGCATGGATCCTCTATGTTGGTCTGGATCCATGCTGGTCGCAAACGCACTATGTTGGTTTTGTTATGGCGCGGCTCAAATGATGCTGGCCAGAAACTCTACAATTTACATATATAAAATATATATGTATCTTTCACAAGAATGACTTGTTTTAGAGTAAGTGCAGAGTGCAGACGTGTGAATTGGGAGCTTATTATTAAGATTAACTTACAGGGGGTGTATTGATGGCAATTTTTTAAAAGATCAAGACAAAAAAAAATTTTAAAAATCCTTTCCATTTTTTGAAGATAAATTAAGACATATATCTGTTTATGCAAAATTTGTGAAAAGGAAATGTTTTATAGCGAACACCATGGTAGTCTTTTTTTTAAAAATGCTATTGGGAAAAAAATACAAATTAAAATTTTAGGCACCCTATTAGAGTTAAAAAATACATTGCGTGTGGGTAATTTTGAATGAAGATAACCCAGAGACGGTTTGGGCTTGGGATCTTTAGCTTAATTTTTTTTGTGTTTTGTAACCCATTTTTTTAGGTCTGTTTGGATGCTTTTTTTTTTCTATTTCGCCGGTTTTTTGTGAAAAAAACCGAGTTAAAATTTAACCAAAAATTTGTTTGGTAATCCCCAGGTTTTTGGTGCCTGGGATCATCATTTATAAAGCAAGCTTTTTTTGTTGCCAGACGCCGCCCAGAAGGTATCAATCTTGGCCTGAATGGTGCTGAGGTGCTGTGGCAAGGGTATAGTGGTTTGTCAATATTAGATGTCGTCAGAAAATTGAGGGCAATAATGGCTATCGTGGACACGCCAGACATAATTATTTTGCATTTTGGTGGTAATGATTTAGGTCGCATAGGTTTGAAGAGTATTCGCCTTCACATAGATTTTATAATAAACTTTATAAATGACAATTTTCATAACTGCAAAATTATGTGGTCACAGATACTACCACGTACTTCATGGCGTTATTCTGATAATCTGGCTGCCATGGAGGAATCTAGAAAGAGAATTAATGCGTACGATGCGACAAAGGTTATCGCAAAAAATGGTGCCTATATTAAGCATCCTGAGTTAAGGGAGGTAACTCCAGAACCGGGATTTATTTAACTTTCCTTGGAAATTGTATATTTATCACACAATTATCATCTGCATTACAAGCATTTATTCGGTGTTATTAAGTGTTTCAAATAGATTACTTGGCATCTGAATGTTTCTCGTGCTAATCCAGCAAACTGTACCTATATATTGTATTTTAGTGATCGCTGTTTCCAAAAGAATTTTTTTTCTCTTTGTTCTTTTGGCGATAGCTTCAGCGAGTCACAGATTTGTCTGTGAAGCGCTGAAGCCATATGGCGGACAGCGATTTACGAACTTACTTTATCATACTTACGTTGGTATTCTAATATTTTAAATCATAGACATCTGTATGGCTTGACGACTGACTCCCAGGGTCTGCCGTTGATGTTCACATACGTGGTGCTCCATTTTCGAACAATTAAAATTCAAGTTGTGCATTAAAATTCAGTTTAGACATCTGTGAACTATTTCCATCAAGGAGAATTAAGTTGACCTATTTGTACTTTATAAATTTCGCCAGTTAAATTCATTTCATCTATTGGAACAGTTAGTTATTTCAGTTAACTTTAGCCCAAGTTGGGCTTGTGATTGAATTTTTAGCCTTTTTTGGCTAGCCCGAGTTGGGCTTGTACTTGAATTTAGCCTTTTGTGGCTTTGAACAGTTTGCTGGTAGGTCGCCCTTAATGACGATTTGTTCGGCGACTGAATGACTTAATTTGGGTCAACAGATGAGTACGGGAAGTTCGGGAACCATGCCAAGACATTGCCAAACCGGGTACAAGAACGTCATGAAGTTAAATGTAAATGAAGAAATAAAATAATTTTAAAATTTACACTGGAATTTATCAAATTTTTAGGTCGGTGGAATGTGGAACGACAGATGTGCTCTGGTGAAAGCCAAGTTTGAAAAAAGCAAGATAAAATAGCTTAAAGTATTTTGGTAAAGGGTTTTCACTCGGGTGGCTGTCGTTCGGCAATCGGTTTACCTCGAATCTCCCAATAATCAGACACATTGCGTGTGATAACTTTGAAATGAAGATAAGTTTGGTCTGAACTCACTTTTACTGTTTTCATGGTATCATTGATATATCACAGAGTCAGTATTGGCTATGTAAATAGTCAAGACAAAGGGAAATATTTCTTGAAAGTGTCTGTACATATATATTACATTTGATGCAATTTGAAAGATTTTTTCCACATTGATTTAATGACATTTTCAACATAGCTATTTTCAAATTTTTTATCCTGCCCGTTTGTAACGTTCATTCGTAGAGTATACAGCGGATAATTTAGAACTCCTACATTTTACTGACTTTATCGAAATCTAAAAAAAAACGTTTGTGCAATATTATAAGTTTGTACAAAAATGTTAGTAAGTAATGGTTATAATTTATGACCTATATGCTTGTAAACTCTCACCTTGTGGTTCTTGTAGTGAGGTTTCAACCATCTTTACTGAGGCATATAGCATGTACCTGTCAAAATCTGTATAACTAATAATACAGATGGTTTTCTCAAGTAAATTTTATTGTAACCTATTGACCTATGGTTTAATTTATGACAGGTGCTTATATTTTTTATTCGTCAATACAAACTGACACCGCGGATGTTGTATGATCTATGTGTTATTTAAAGGCAAGGTGGACAGTTTTATGTTGCCGTCATCATAGGCTGACCTATCAGTCCCACAATTTAAATATGGAGATGATGCTCAACTCATGTAGTCACGTGACATGACGGTATTCTTTGATTTGTCATCTTTATAGAGATTTCAGTATATACATTTCAAATGTGATTATCTAATTATGAAATTGTCAGCTAATTATCTATAAACATTATCTAAAGATAGTTACTCTAAACTCATCACCATTTTATGATGTTTAGCTAGCATATTCGAGCATTTCGTGCTTTGGCACAATGTTGTATTTTGTATGTTTGTGAAAGCGAGCAAAATGGAGAAAATAGTGGTCAGATATTTTAGTCTTTTTCTTTTATTTCACTTTATACCAGGAAATTGTCAGGAAACACCACGACTTCGGCAATTGACGTGTATGTTATCCGCGGTTTTGTTTTGGTTTTTTTTTGTTGTTTTTTTTTTATGGGTTTTTTTATGGTTTTTTGGGGGGGCGGGGGAGGTGTGTAATTAGATTTAATTTATTGAATTTAAAATATTTGCAACATAAACAAGTTTGTTTTGTATTATTTTACTGCAATGTTTTTCATTTTTTAAAAGTTTTACAAAACATTCTACAAAATTTTAAAAGTTTTAAAATTCCTATATCATACAATTACAATCAAACAAACGCATGATATAAATTTTATTAATTAGCTCTAATATATTATATATTTATATATTACTGTAGATTCTTCAAACTGGACCTATGGAGACAATGAGAATGGTAATGTATACATTTCGTATCTATCTTATACACTGTACACAGATTTTTTTAAGACATAGTGATATCTATTATTCGTTATCATTTATAAGTCAAGACCAGTACACATAAATATATGTGCATATATATAAGTGAAATAAATGAATTAAATTATCTCTTTGTAATATGTGGTAGTGATTTATTCATGCACTTTTAGCACTTTTACGCTAACTGATTTTTTTCTACCAATTATTTATCAAAGTTAAAGTTCGTTCTCACTTTTGGTCATTTATTTCCTAGGTCCGAGATACTGGCCTATTTTGCATCCACAATACTGTGCTGGACAATATCAATCACCAATCGCAATAAGTACCAGGAAAACTATCTATAACCCCCGTTTGACAGAATTTGCTTTATTTCATGATCCGCCTCTAACAGGATCTAAATTTCAAGTACCGGTAGGAAGTTAGCAGTAGCAGTGAGCAGTAGCAGTAGCAGTAGCAAATTTATAAAACGTGAAGTTGGCAGTAGCAGTAGGACAGCAGTAGCAGTAGCAAATTTATAAAACGTGAAGTTGGCAGTAGCAGTAGGACAGCAGTAGCAGTAGCAAATTTATAAAATGTGAAATTGGCAGTAGCAG